AAAAAAAAAAAGAAATTCCTACACTGAGACGCAACTCAATTTTCGTGGAACATTCTTCGTGGAAACAACTGACCAGAGTTAGTGTGTGTGTTAACAGGTGATCCTGCCACAGGAGAGGGAGTCAATCGTCACATGATGTCAACAGTTATGTTCAAGCTGATCAGTGGCTTCCACATAAACTCAGGTCAGACACTGACATCAACAGTAATCAGAAAATGTCTCAGCAAAAACTGTCAATGACGTTTGGAATTGCCACTTGCAGATTCAACCATCACTAGAATCTTTGAAGGTGAATCCGATCACCTGATCCCATCAGTTTCTGCAGATCTGATCGATAACCGCCTGTTCACCATTGCTGGTAGAATGATCGGACATTCCTTTCTGCACAGTGGACCCAGTTTTCCAGGTCTAAGTCCGGCTGTCCTACATGTCTTGTTTGGAGGATCACTGGAAACCGCGCCCATCACATTAGAGGACTGCCCAGACCTTGACATCCGCAGTGTTGTGCAAGCGGTGAGGACTGTGATGTCACACCGCTATCCTGATCTTTCATTCTTCCTTTCATTCAGATACCTATGACTTTTTTTTTCTTCTGTTTTAATTCCAGCTCCGAGGAGATGCTGACATTGAAGACAGCGAATACGTGCATTATCTCTGTCTGTACGCAAACCTGCCTCTGCCTAATGTCACCAACAGAAAGTGGCTGGCTGAAAAACTACTCTTTCATGCAGTAAGAAACCGTACATTAATTTAAAAGCACTCTGTTTTTTTGTTTCTACCAATGAACAGTTAGGATTTTTAGGTTTCTATGTTTTAGGTGATTGACAAGACAAAGTTTCAGATCGATCAGCTACGGAAAGGTTTACAAGACACAGGAATTTGGCCGCTGCTTATCCACAGGAGCGATGTAATCCCAATTCTGTTTCCAGGAGAATCGGACGCACAATTAACACCACAGGTACCACTGCAAACAGCTGTATGGATGATCTCACGTGTCCTTTTGTTCAAACGTTTACTTCAGTCTCAAGTTACCTCTGGGTTTTAAAAGCTCTGCCTCCATTGTCCCTGTACTTCTATAGTATATAGTATAGTCTATAGTAGAGGAAGTATCCACGTCATTTTTCTTCCCTAAAACTGTTCCTCAATTCCTACACATGAATCTGATGTTTCTAACGTG